CCTGGAAGTCACGCAAATACTCTAGTGCTCCCTGACAGGAGGAGGGCATCTGAAGAGGTAAGATTATTTTTACAGTAGCTGACAATGATGCATTTTTTCTAGAGGGTACAGGGAAAAGCACGTTTTTATAAACATAGTTCCAAAATTACACATTTTTAAGGCTTATTGATTTGCAGGAGTCAACCTTCACTGTCCTTGGTGCTGATATTTGTCACACTGTTTAATGTTTGTCTCAAGAAAAGTTCTCCAGAGTTCAGAGAAGATCATTTTGAATGTTGTGCAGTCTGGAACACTGACATATTAATTACACTTGATTTGTTTTGGTTTTCACTCTAGGTTTCTAAATTTTGCAATCCTTAAATTTTACCACTCAAAGGCTTCAGGGTTTTTCGGTTGTTGTACATTTTCTATTGTATTTTGCGGTAATATTGCTTAAATTGTGGTCATATTCTTAGCATTTTTAAAGCATTTTGACTGCTGGGATTTTTAGGTTTGAAAGTTAAGTGTTAAACTCTAGTGGGTTTGTTGTTTTTCCTCAAATGCAAACAGAAAAACAAAGGTTGCAATATGCGCCGATTCTGTTCTAATCAGTGAACGCTGATCTGTTTTGATCTGCTGACATCCGTGTGGGGAAAGTATCGCCTCTGTAGAATAGAGGATTGTTTTTTGGTTGTTTGAAGACCAGCACAATTTGTGTAAATGGCATATTCAACGCTTGGTGTCAGTGTAGTTCAATGATTCTGTGCATTTGGCATCACGCTACGTCACGAGCTGTATTTTAACCGAGCCCTTGCATTTTCTCAAGCAGCATGATTGAACGTAAGATCACAAGTCGCAACGACGAGTGTGTTTTATTGTTAGCAGCTCTTTTGGAAAACAGAGTTTAGCCAACGTTCAGGATCTCCGCGCACCGACTGGCGTTGAAAATACGACGTGTTTCATGGACCATTCTTTATCATCATTGAATCATGGAACAAAGAGGAGGCAAAGCATGGAGGGAGCGACGGTGTTGGTTTGCCTTCGTAGTTGTTTTGGATGTTTTGTGGAGTGGAGCTTTTGCGCAGATCAGATATTCCATATCTGAGGAGATTCAAGAGGGAACCGTCGTGGGCAATATAGCGAAGGATTTGGGACTAGATAAGAGCGCACTCAAAGACAGAGGATACCGCATTGTAACCGGCTCCACCGAACCACTGTTTCAGGTGAATCAAAACGATGGCGTCCTGTATCTGAAAAAGAGAATAGACAGGGAGGAGGTGTGCGAACGGAGCAGCCCGTGCCTGATCAATCTGAAAACCGTGCTAGAAAACCCACTGGAGATTCACTACGTGGCAGTGGAAATACTTGATATCAATGATCACTCCCCTGTTTTTCCGGAGAAAGAAAAACGGCTTGAAATTTCAGAGTCGGCTCTGCCGGGAGCGAGATTTCAGCTGCAGGCTGCCCGCGATCCCGATGTAGGCCAGTTCTCCATTCAGCAATACAAACTCAGCCACAACGAACATTTTAGAGTAGAAGTCAAGGACCGAGGAGAAGACCGCAAAGTACCGTTTTTAGTTCTGCAAAAGCAGTTAGATAGAGAAACAGCTGGGAAGCATAAGCTGCGTCTGACCGCCGTTGATGGAGGCAAACCGCCCAAGTCTGGTGACATAAATATAATTGTAGACGTACTTGACGTTAATGACAACACTCCAGTATTCAACAAAGAGTTGTATTCTGCCACGCTTAAGGAAAACGTTCCTGTTGGCACTGTAGTGATTCAGGTAAACGCAACAGATTTGGACCAGGGTGCAAACGGTGAAATAATATATTCATTTGGTAACGAAGTTGATTCAAAAGTGATGGAGCTGTTTAGTATAGATGAAGATACTGGCGAAATTAAAGTAACAGGTCACATAGATTTCGAGAAAAGTAGGAATTATGAAATTGACATTAAAGCATCTGACAAGGGAACGGCTCCCCTAACTACTGACAAAAGCGTTATGATAACTGCTCTTGATGTTAATGACAATGCGCCTGAGATTGAAGTGACATCATTTTCTAGCTCGATCAAGGAAGATTCAAAGATAGGTACGACAGTGGCCCTCATCAGCGTCAGTGATTCAGACTCTGGAATCAATGGTAAAGTCATCTGCACAATCAAACAAGAAGTTCCTTTTACTTTAGCTCCATCATTACAAGAAAACATGTACGCGGTTGTCACCAAGTCGCATTTGGACAGAGAAATGATTTTTCATTATGATGTCACAATTGTTGCCAAAGATACAGGCGAGCCTTCTTATTTAACTGAGAAGACGATAAGCGTCGTTGTGTCAGATGTAAATGACAACAGTCCGGAGTTTTCATCAAGTCCCTACACATTTTACATCACTGAAAATAACAGCCCCGGAGCTTCGGTGTTTTCTGTGAAAGCTTCTGATCGTGATGACGGTGATAATGCTCTCATTTCCTACCATATTCTGAGAGATGTAAGCGGAGATAACAAATTGTCCTCGTTTTTAAATGTAAATTCTGAAAACGGGGACATTCTGGCGCTGAAAAGTTTCGACTTTGAAACGCTGAAAAC